CACCTCCCACTTCAAATTCACATCATCATCATCATCATCCAGGAGCCTTCTACATACACACCTCAAAGTAAGTAAACTTTTCTACCTTTTCTGTTGAATTTAGGCAATTTTTGGTGAGCTGGAACCAATTACCCAAAAACCCATTGAAACAATGGTTTTGGTTAACGAGATTTTCGGTTAACGAGCAATCTGCTGGAACGGATTGTGCTCGTTAACCGAGGGACCACTGTATGTGTGCATGTATTAATAAAGCACGGAGTTGACTTGAGGGTAGACTGTCACATTTTCAATACATTTGTTTCTGATTATTTGTGAGAAGATTTTCCCATTATTTTTTATTTGTATGTGTTTTGTAAAGGTAAAGGAAATTACCGTCTCTTGAACGAATGGCTGCCTGTCCCGGCTGCGAAAATGCCAGCAACTTTAAAACTACCCTAGACATTGTTAGGTACATCCAGGGTGTCATACGCGAATAATCGAGGTGCGCGAATTTTAATGGCATGTTGAATCATCACAGCTGGACGCTCTATTCCACCATCTCAGGATGACATTGATAAGAAGGCTTGTTCTCAAACACAGCAGAAGCTGAGATTATTTAACTTTGTTGGTCTCATTCAAAGCACTTTATTTGGCAAGGCTACTCTCAAATGAATTCCTGGTGTGAGTGGTCATTTGAAATTGCCGCCAGACAGTAATTCCTTGGCCTCTCTCCTCCTCTCGGACCTGTGAGTGAGCAGTTTATTCCCCCACTCTTGGAATGGACTCACCCATAATGCTTCCCTGTGAATGGTTAGCTATAAGTACAAAACACATTCAGCCAAAGAAAAATGGTAAAATTTTAGGTAAAATAATTTAAACAATGGTGATGGTAATCCTCCTGGGAAGAGAGCGGAAGACTAGTGTGCATCGCATATTCCATGTCACATGCACATACACCTGGGGCAGTCCATCTGTCACCATTGAGGCCAAATTACAAATTATATGTTATATTTTTTAAAAATTATTTAACACTCTCAGGATCATTCACTCCTAAGTAGCATTTTGATTTAATGTAAATTAAACTTCTGCCTCATGATCAGGCACGCCAGGATGGCGTATAATTCATTTTCTCTTAAAAGTTCCTGGTCGAATTACAGTACTTCAAATTTTAACGGCACTTTCTTCATGTCACTCTCCTGCATGGAATCAAGTTTTGAGGCTAGGTGGCAACCCGTCTATGTGGCATGGGTCACACGGCCTCCAGACAAACACACTAATTTTGCATCTGGCTCAGTAAGCGAGAGGTGTGTGTTCTGGGCGCAATTTAAAAATGGCTATCTCCAATTACTTATTTACTTCCCACCTCGATATTTATTCTTATGAAACAATTAAGTGATGGATATTGAAATATTTATAACGAAATATTTTTGAATTTGTGAGGTGTTGATGCAGTGGCCACATGGCCAAGTGAACGTTATCTCCCAATATTTATCAGTTACAACCTCGATATTTATTTTTATGAAGTGATAAAGTGATGTGTGTTGAAATATTTATAATGAAATAGTTAAATATTTTTGAATTTATGAGATGTTGGTGAAATGGCTACTCACATAATATATAGGCCTAGCTTGGAAAAATAAAAAGTGACAGTGAAATTTAATGCAGTAGAGGCATGCGTATGATGAATTATAATCAATATATTGTGCTTATTTGATACATATTCATAACACCATCGCCATGCATATGCCATGGCCTATCTCGTCTGAGTGGTAAGTGAAAATATTAATGCCCAAACTTCTGCCTTAGTATATACAGTACAGTATACAGTATTCTCAATTTAACGAATCCGATATAGCGAACTCTTGATTTAGCGGAAGGCTTTTTTTCGCTATTTTCCGCTTAATTTAGTAAAACCTACTTCAGTCTATGGCGAATGTACTAAATGTATAAAAACGATAAATAATCATATAAAGAAATTACCGGATAATCTGAGAAAATGGTGAGACATTCCCTACAAACCTTTCTGCTCCAGGCCTGGGGGCAAAGGTTCCCAGCATTATGAAAGAATGCACCATGTAGGTAGTATGTAGTAGGCAGCTATCAAACAGGGAGGTACTACCGCCTGGAATGATATTGGAAGCATATGTATTGTCTAATGGTAGACCCTGCTGCCATATGGCACCACAAAAATTGTGATCAAGTCCCAGGTTGCTGATCTGTCTTTCTGCCTCATTTACACACAATTGCAGGGTCTCAATTGTTTCTCTTACTTTGACAACACAACATACATAGTATATCGTTTCTCACTATTAATCTTTTTTTAAATTTTTTATTTTTTATGGTCCTTTTTATTGTTATTATTATTATTATTATTATTATATATTTTTTCCATTTTGTTTATGAATTTTTATTATTTATTATTATTATTATTATTATTATTATAGTATTATAATTTTGCCCCCACGCCCTGATGTGGGTCATTGACCTGTGCCCTGGTGGGCAAATCCCGTCTTAAAAAAGAAAAGAAAAAAGTTTTGCCGCATCCTCACATGGTTGGTGTGTGGGTGAGAAGTCCAACCGCTTGGGTAACGCTGGATTTTTCTGATCTGGGTCTAATTATAATTACTGTGCAAACACAAATATTTCTTTAAATGTACAGTATGCTCGTACTCTCAATTTGACCAAATCAGATATAACGAACTCTCGATTTAGTGGAAGGAATTTTTCTGCAATTTTTCGCTCGATTTAGTGAACTAGTTCGCTAAATCGAGATCAATTCCATTAATACACTCACACTTGCAGAGACACCTCAGACACATGATATGTACAGTTGCCAGCAAAAGTCCTTCCACAGCCTTGTGTAGTAGGGCTGTGGGAAAACTTTTGCTGGCAACTGTACATAGAACCATTAGAAACATTATTCATGGCTTACCTTAAACTAGGGGGTTCGGTATTTGTTTTCAATTTTTGTCTATTATTTAAAAAAACATTTCCAATTGATAGCCGCATTCTTGTTTTTCTTTTTCTTTTATCCTCTTCACCATTGATCGGCTCTTTAGCCGCTTGGGTGATCGGTCACTTCTCTGTTACTTTTCTTTTATCCTCTTCACCAATTGATCGGCTCGTCAGATGCTTGGGCGATCGGTCACGTCTCTGTTACGCACTGTTGGCAAGTACTGAGCATGCATCGGCTCCTGAATGTACCTGAACCTGCTCCAGTGTTGGTCAAGTCTGGTCTTGAAAGAGCTCACACTCGGTACCGTCACAACATTTTCTGGAAGATTGTTCCAAGAGCTCACAACTCTCACTCCGAAAAAGTTTGCCCTCACAGTTTTCTGGACTTGCGGCTTCTTCAATTTTGAGCTGTGATCCATTGTGGGGCGAGTGTCTGCCAGCTCCAAGTAAGGACACTCGACTGAGTAGTGCCCCTTGAGATGCCTATACACCTCAATTAGGTCGCTCCTTGCCCGTCTGTAGTATAAGCTAGGCAAGTTCAGGCGCTCCAATCTCTCAGGGTAGTTGAGGTGCCGAAGTGCAGGCATCAGTCTGGTGGCCCTCCTTTGAACATTTTTAACCAACTGACAGTCCCTAGCATATCTCGGGGACCAGACAGGGTGACAGTACTCCAAATGGGGAAGCACTTCACTCTTGAAGATCGTTATTAGGGACGGACCGTCTAGATATCTGAACGACCTTCTTATAAGACCCAATAATTTATTTGCCTGATTTAATTTCTTCTCGCAATGGCCCGAGAACTTCAGCTCATTGTCAACATACACACCTAGGTCCTTCTCACATTCAGTCTCAAATAGTGCAGTTTCTTCATCCCGTTGGGACATATGATACGCCTCCTTACCGTTGGTACGCCCCAGGTGCATCCTCTTACACTTCGTGACATTGAATCTCAGCAGCCATTTCTTCGACCATTCTTGGAGCTCACAGAGATCCTTCTGCAGCTCTTCACAATCCGCATGGTTCTTGACTTCCCGAAATAACTTGGCGTCATCGGCAAACATTTGTATGGAGGAGTGTACAACATCAGCCATGTCATTTATGAAACAAACAAACAACAGCGGGCCCAATACACTGCCCTGTGGTACCCCGCTTGTGACAGGTACAGATGATGATTTCGTGCCATTAATCACCACACATTGCTTGCGGTCATGAAGAAAGTCTTCTATCCACGCTAGGACATTTCCCAGAATTCCGTATCCTCTCAGTTTGATTTTCAGCCTTTCGTGGGGTACACTGTCGAAAGCCTTGGCAAAATCTAGTGCATATATTGTCGATATTACCACCCCGTTCCAGAATATGGGTCCAAATATCCAGTACCTTGAGCAATTGTGTTAAGTAGGAGCACCCCGGCATAAAACCGTGTTGGTAATCCTTTACAAGGTTTTTCATAGTAGATGTTCCATCATGGCATCTCTGATAATACTCTCAAGTACTTTACATATTATGCTGGCCAGGCTCACCGGTCTATAGTTGTTCATGGAGTGACGATTGTTGTGAACTCAGAATCCGACGACGAACCAGAACCAGGCCAATAAGGTAAGAAATAAGTGATTCCATCATATGGTGAGTTAGGTTAGGTCAGGTTAGGTCATCCCCCAAAAAAGGTTTGGTTATATGTTTTTCTAGTGTTTTTTTTTTTGGGGGGGGAGGGTATTTTGTATTCGCCTGGCCATGATTTTTATCGGAAAACGATCCACCCAAAACACACAACTAAAAAAAACCCAAGCAATTTCCGACGGAAATCAATGTCAGAGCCAATTAAAACACAAAAATACATTAGAAAAACATAGTTTTGACTCTCTAACAGAGTTGTGTGCTCTAATACAAATTTACCCCTAAAATTCCTGTGTTGTTCGAAAATAAAACTTTACCTTTCTGTGAATATTCTTAAGACGGCGAACCATTATTAGGAACACTCAATGGAAACTTGAGAATTATTCCATTTATTAAAATTATATTAATTCTAAAGTTCACACTACTCTACTCTAATACACACTCTTCTTTACCTTTGAGCTGCAGGGTGTAGAGGACTAGGCGTTATAACCCACTTAGTGAATAAATCAGTGACATGTACAGTCTCTTGATGCAGTGACAACGGAAATAGCGACCCTTGCATACCTGCGGAAATCCGGGTTATTTCTTCTTCTGTCCCTTAACTACGTCACATCATGGCCACATTAACTGACCATCTCATATCAAAACAAGCTAACTACACGACGATAATTCGAATATTCCACTAAACGGGTTTCCACAGTCATGTATTCCAATTATAACCAATGACGGAAAACTGTGTAGACGCACCCTCAGCCACCACACTACGAGCCTAAACTCACCCACTAGTAAACATGCTCACATTCTTTAAAAATAGATAATTTATCCTATATTAATTTTACGAAAATAAATATTTAATTCATTTTTACTTTAAGGATTATAACAGAAGATCTTAGATGCGTATAGAGGAGAATAGAAATAAGCTTGTATCTCATGACATGACAGCCGGGGTAAAATCCCATGTGTTGAATAAATTATTTTCAGATTTCCCCTACAACAATAAAACTATTGGTATTTAGCGTAAATAAAATAATCACGTTATTTTTATTTTGATATCAGAAAATATCCTTGGCCGTCCTGGAAAGAAATAACGCTGCTCTGTGCAACAGGTTATACAGTGATGACGTCATAAGCACAGCATGTTGTTGGTGACTATTTTAAAAATAATAGAACTAATAATAATATTTATTCCTTAAAACTGTCGTACAGGTTTAAAATGGATAAACATGTTTATAAGCTGTGCAGTTATACATTTTGGCTCGAATATAGAACATGTACAGTTTTAATTTAATTTGTTTAATTTAAACAAATTTATTGACAAAGCTCGGAGTACAGTTTGCCTATTCTGAGTAATTCAGTCAGGTCTTGACACTGAGGGTGGTATCACTTCTCACTGCCACGCAGGAAAGAGGTTCATACACAAAGGAATAGATCTTATTCATTAACAGTATATATAGGTCAAATTCATGTGGGTTGATGTCGCTGTTCACTGCCATGCAGGACAGAGGTTCATACACAAAGAAATACGCAATTTTCATTAGCAGTATATATAGGTCAGAGTCATGTGGGTGATGTCACTGTTCACTGCCATGCAGAACAGTGGTTCATATACATTGGACGTCATATTCTAATTGAAGAGTAATCAGTGTGGGCTAACAAATTTTGGATAAACAGCAAGAATGTCCTCAAGCACCCCTGAATCAATGTAGTAATTACAAAGTTCACGATACAATAAGCCAGGTGGCCTAAAGTCTTTGACAGTGTCACATTCAATAATATAGTGTTCAAGTGTATGCTTTAAAGGTTTATCACAAAGTTTACATGCTGAGTGTTCCGGTATGGGTACAGCGTTACTAACTTGCTAGATGCGTCTGTATCCTAGCCTAATTCTGGCCACAACTATATCACATTGTCTAGTCCTGTCCTTATGCTGGCCATACCGGTACTTCATGTCACAAAATTTGTCATATTTACCAATACTACTACTGCCAGGTCTCTCTGCATTTCTCAGTTCTTCTAGATCAGAGTTCATGATTCTGACTTGAATGTTTTTAAGTACAGCATTGGACAGGCCAAGGTCACGGTCAACATTTTCTTTCTGACATGCCTCATTGGCGAGTCTATCAGCACAGTCATGATACCATAATTTAACTGAAAGTGGAAGATGGTCAGAATAAAAGAACAGTTCCAACAAAGGAACAGTAATACTCTTTTATTAAAGCTAAATTTGCAAATTATTACATATAAATGAAATAGGAGTTAGTCATGCAGTAAAGAACTATAAAACACCCTTCGGTCATTTTTCTGAATAAACTTTTGACAAATGGCATCTAAGCCAATATCGCAGCTCTGGTGAAGGTGCATCAGCATGAGGCCAGTGAGTTGCTCCTCTGACATGGTGGCTCGCAGAAAGGTTTTTGCTCTTCTGAGTTCACTAAATGATCTTTCTGCTTCACAGCATCCAATTGGTAGTTTGCATCCTATTCTAAGCAGGACAGTAGTATTTGGAAACTGATCCCCATCCATCACCTTAAGGCAGCTAAGCAGGCTGGTCGGCAACTGGTCAGTATTCTGTCTCTGAAAACAGTATTACACACGTTCAGATCTATGTTCTGTGACTGAAGATATCAGATACAAAAAGAACTGACACAAGCATGTATATTTTAGTCATTATGAATATTATTACTGTAGAGCAAAAAAGAAACATTCAATGCCTTACAATTTCATATCTTAATTTAACTAAACCCATTTATAAAACATATACACAAAATATGGCTGTTCTCAGCTTGCATGAACAGTCTGTTAGGTGCCACGTGGGAGACTCAGATATTGTATACTAATATCTGCAATTGAAAACAAAGCAAATGACTTATTGATATATTGACATACCTACCAATGGGCCATCCACTCCTGTAGCTCGTTGGCGAGGGAAGAAGGAACTGAAAGACTGCCTCCCATAACTTCAGTTTCAGACACGTCTTCAACATCAAAGAAATAAATAGTGTTAACTGGCAGCAGGGAAAACATTACTTGGCTCGGATGAGTGTCTTTAGTTTTGAACCTTGATTTTATCTCACAGATAGTGTAATCAATGAAAGGGATTGCAACTTTTCTTTTGAGAGGTTCCTACGTGGAACATGCTGCAGCATTACCCCTGTGTTGTTGCCTTCCTTTGATCCTTGGAATCTCAATTGCACATCCAACATCATCTGCCATTTTCTCACAGGTTGTGTACCATAAAGTAAACTCTGTGTCGAAATTGGACCTTATTTCTTGAGCCCTTACAGTTGCAATTTGAACTAGTAGATAGGCTTGGTAAATGTTCTGATCTCGTTTTTGTAGTTTCGTTGCCTGAGATCGAAGAACTTCCAACGTGCTTTTCATAGTTTTGAAAGCCACGATGTTGGTAGAAGACCTCATGCTGAATAAGAGTCCTCTACCCCTTACCCTGGTATCACGATCCCAAGACAAATCTTCGACCAGTTATCAAAGCATGGGATTGATACTGACCTGCATTATCTGTCAAAATGGCCGTTGACACCAACTGCCCTTGACAACCAATCATTGCCAACTCTCCTTCTAGGCAGGACACCACATAATGATAGGGATCTCTCCCTTCGCTCTAATATGTTCGATAGCTGTCATGAACATATCAAGGAGGACCTCACTCCTACACTGGCCAATATCATTGCTTCCTGCACTGAGGCAGACAATGGGTTTGTTCCCATTACCAGACAAGATATTGTCCATCCTGTCAACTATATCCCCCACCCCAGCTCCTGGCAAACACACTCGAATCCTATTTTTATTTTTACCACAGAAAGCTCTATCCAGGTACCGTACCTGGAACTCACCAACAATTAAGGTTTTTGTACCTTCCTTGTCAGCCCTGTCCCTGACTATGCTAACGTCCAATTCGTAAATCAAAGGACTAAAGGAGTTTTTACACTTTGCTGTTGTCGTTTCCTTGGTGTCTTTTCTCACTACCAGTTTAGTCGTTCCTCTCCTCACAACCCTACATTCGCTTGTGTCTTCGTCAGACACGGATTTTCCTTGTCTCGTGTCTTCCTCATTCATCCTCGCAATCACTTCCTTTAATTTCAAGTTTTCGTCCTTGACCTTCACTAACTCGGCCCTCAGAAGGACACAGCCCTGCTCACAACTAGCACTAGCCATTGACAATTAATCCCCGGGAGCTAAGTCTGCCGTGACCTTTCCTCTTGCAAGGTCAGAACACAATCTAGAGTAGTGGATGAGTGGAACAAGTTACCAAACATCATCATTAACTCGAATTCACGGGACTGCCTAGTATGGGCCAATAGGCCCGCTGCAGTTTCCCCATTCTTTTGTTCTTATGTTCTTATGTTGAGTGTTGTGACGGCAACGAGTGTGTGCTCTTTCAAGGCCAGACTTGACCAACACTGGAGCAGGTTCAGATACATTCAGGATCCAGTGTATGCCCAGTACTTGCCACGTGACCGACTGGTGAACAGAAAGTCTCAGATGTTTCACGTCAATTAACACCTCTCCTGTGAACTATTGGGGTGTGATAACTATAGCGGGCCTGGTAGCTGTTAGGTAGAGGCATAACCCACCGCCCCTCAGATCACCCTGAGCTGATAATCATGGCTCCAACTGTTGGGGTACACCTCGTAAAGGGTGAACTATCGTGACTTAACATAAGCGTGTAGCTGATATAACAAACTTATATATTATTTATTATAAGTATTTGCTTATTCATTTTTATAAAGGAAAGTTAGTGGAAAATTAATATAGAAATAATATACATTTAAAAAAAAATACAAAATTTGTGATACAAAATCACAGAAGTACAATGCTGCATTAAGAAAAAAGGATTGGAATTTTCTGATAATAAGGGAGGTCCGGACCCCCAGGACCCCCTTGGATCCACCCTTGCATAGGTGATAGAAAGAAAGTTTTTCTTTTGTGTGTTCTTTCTTGAGGACTGTAACTGTGATTACGATCAACATTCATAGGGAGATACAGTTGTTACACCTCCTTTCACCGCTTACCCAGATTCCACCACTGGTTACCAGCGGCTACGGTCGTACGTACAGAAGCAGTCGATATCTCAAGTATTGTCAAATTACCACTGCATAAACAGCAAGAATGTCCTCAAGCACCCCGATTCAATGGGGGCAAGAGTGCCAACGCAGAACCAGGGGACAGCACGACACCCGCCATCCGCTCTACCTCCCACCCAGCAGGAGGCGAGCGTCATGTAAACAAGGATACGGTAAACGAGGCAGCTGAAGAGAATGAAGGGGGCCGGAGTCAATATCAAGACCAGGGACATTATAGAGGACAACTTCCGGTTTGAAAGTCATGTACACTAACACTGGCACGTTCCTCGACAAGAGAGCGGAGTTTGTAACACTATTGAGGGTACATAAACCCGATATAATAGGTGTTGTAGAACTGTTGTATAGGAGAATCGAACCGGAGGAATGTGAGTTCAATATTGATGAATGACTCATTTACGAACCTTTCCCAAGAAATTTGCAAGAGGGATGTGGTTATCTATGCTAGGCAAGACCTATAGTATAGAGCCAGCCAGGTGAGGGTGCAGGGAGAGGAAGTTTTCGAAAAATCAAAGTGGTGTAAAATTAAAATGAAGGGGAGAGACTTACTCATTGTTGACTGTAACTACAGATCCCCAAACTATAGCGTATTAAGCCAGAGGAACTAAAGACCCCTAATTGACAATGTAACGGTGCAGAACCCTAGCTACCGCCTTG